CGCAGCCGGGGGCCCGCGCCCACAGCCGGAGCCGCGTCGGGGACCCGCAGGCCGCGAGCTCGGCGCCCGACTTGGCCCCAGACGTCTTCGTCATGCGGGTGTTGCTGGAAGAGACCCGGGAGATGTTCCCAGTGACAAACTGCCGCGGCGACATGACTGTGCGCGAGCTCAAGGAGGAGTTGGACCTGGTAGCCGGCATTCCCGTGGACCTCCAGCGGCTCCAGTACCTGGACCAAGGTGGCCCCTGCGCCCCCCTTCCCTCGCCATGTGTACTCCGTCGCCCTGGGGCGCCCAGCCTCCTTCTGAGCCTGCAGTCCCCGAAGGGGAGCTTGCCCCATGAGGAACCCAGATGTCAAAACATGCCCCAACCCCCCTGGCGACCCCAGATGGAAAAACAAACCCTGGCCACATAGGTACTTCCCAGTCCCAGACAGATGGGTTCACATTAGACCCCAAGTCTCAAGGCAGAACCACACTTCACAAACAATCCTGTCTGCACTAGGGCTCCAATTCCCAAAACCAGCTGTCTAGTCTGACCTGCCAACCTGAGCAACTCCTGCCCATGTCAGGACCCCAGACTCCCAAACAGACGCTGCCACAGCAGGACCCCTGAGAAGCCCAGATCTTCAAGCACCCCATGTCTCCATCAGGGACCCAAGTCCCAAAGCCAACAGTGTCCACACAAGACTGCAAGCCTGAAACAGAGCCTGTCTTCAATGGGACCCCACAACCCAGGGCAAACCTGCTCCCACCAGGACCCCAAACTCAAAGCAAACTTCAAGTCCCCACACTGGACATGTGGACATCAGAACCCTGAATCCTCCGGCCAGCCGCATCCACACAAGGACACCAGAGATCGAAACAAACCTGCCCACTTTGGAACCCCAAAACCCAGAACAAACCTTCCCAAGGCTGAACCCCAAATCTCCAGGGTAACCATGATGACCTCAGAACCCCAAATCCTCTAGTGACTGTGTCCATACAAGGATGCTAAAGCTCAAAATAAATTGTGCCCACTTAGGGACCCCAAACCCAGAACATACCTGCCCAAGATCGAACCCCAAATCTCCAGGGTAACCATGACTACCTCAGAACCCCGAATCCTCTGGCAATAGTCCATGCAAGGATGCTAAAGACCAAAACAAACGCTGTTCACCTCGAGACCCCCAAACCCAGAACAAACCTGCCCGAGACTGAACCCCAAATCTCCAGGGTAACAATGACTACCTCAGAACCCCAAATCCTCTGTTAACTGTGTCCACTAAAGGACGCTAAAGCTCAGAACAAACCATGCCCACATGAGGACCCCCAAACCCAGAACATACCTGCCCAAGACTGAACCCCAAATCTCCAGGGTAATCATGACTACTTCACAACCCCGAATCTTCTGGCAACTGTGTCCACGCAAGGACGCTGAAGCTCAGAACAAAGCCTGCCTGCCTCAGGACCCCCAAAACCAAGAATAAACTTGGCCAAGACAACCCCAGATCCCTAAGTTATCCATATGACCATCAGAACCCCGAATCCTCCAGCAAACATGTCCACTGATGAACATTGAAGCCTGAGACAAACTCTGCCCACCCGAGGACCCCATATTTCTATGCAAACCGTGCCCGCGTTTAAACCTCAAAACCCCCAAACTACTCCTGCCCGCAACAGAAGCCTGAATCCCAGAGCAGACTCTGCCCAGATCGTGACCCTAAATCCAGAGCAGACGTGCCCAGTTCTGAGCCCTCTAATCTCTAATTAACCACTTGTGCATCTGAACCCCAATCCATCAGCTATCTCTGTACCTACGGATGCCAGAGCCCAAACCGAACTCTGCCCACATCTAAAAGCCAGATTACAAGTTCACCGTGACTGACTACACCAGAACCCTAACCCCAAGAAGAGGGTCCTCATAAGGGCCCCAACGTATGAGACCAACTCTGCCCACAACAGGACCCCAAACTCAAGTCAAACCTACCCACATCTGCACCCCAAATCTCCGTGGAAACCATATCTACATCAGAATTCCAAGGTTTAAACCAATGATATCCATGTAAGAAAGCTAAAGTTCAAAACAAGCCTTGCCTACATGAGGACCCCAAAACTCAGAGCAAACTCTGCTTGTATTTGAAACCCAAACCCCTCAGCCAACCATATCCACATCAGAACCCCAAATTCTAGATCAAACCCTGTCTACGCCAGGATCCCAAATCTGAAAGCAGAACCTGTTGCCATCAAGACCCCCAAATCCTGGGGCAGGCCTGTCGGATTCATCACCCCCAGTTGCCACAGTACCCAGGGCTACATCAGAACCCCAAATCTTGAAAGAAGTCCTGCCCACACAAGGACTCCACATCCCAGAACAGACCCTTCCCATACCAGGACTTCCAAACAGAAAGTAAACCTTGCCTTCATCAGAACCCCAAATCCATAGCAAACTCTGCCCTCGTCGGGACCCCAAATTTCAAAGCAAACTCTGTCCACGTTTGAACCCAAATTCTGGCACTAACCCAGTCCGTATCAGAACCCCGAATCTCAAGCCGTGTCCTTGTCCACATCAGGAACTTAAAGCTAGCCCAACCGGAATCAGAACCCAGCACCCAAAGCTCACTCTGGCTAACTGAGGACCCCAAGGCCCCCTATCCAGACAGATCCCATGTGGGAGGCACCCAGTGGAGGGCAAGGAGCCTAGAGCCCAGGTTCTCCCTCCATCAATCTTCTTCCATCAGCCTGAGGACCTGGCCGTCCCTGTCCGGATCCCTATAATATTTAGGATATGAGAACAGGATCAAATACCCTGGGCTCCATCATCTCCCCACCCGATTGAAATCAACGCAAAACCACTTCAAGAAAATGAAGATATAAAAACCTGTGTGGGCTGCTGCACAGAGAGTGTGAACAGCCGATACTGCAGACACACTGCAGTTATACTGCAGGGGCCGGGAACGATGGAGACAGACAGGTCTGAAAGCAGCCTGTCTCCACAGCTCCGTGCTCCCAGGCGCTCGCTGCCCTTTGGGGCTCAGTTTCCTGATCTGTAAGGCTGCGCCCTTTTAGCCCGAGAATGCTCAGTGCCGTTTCCCTCCCTAGACAGAAATGACTCGGGAAACTCAAAACGTCCATGGAAGGCCAAAGCACCTTCCTTTGCCCTCTTAGAAACAGATGAAGCGTTTTTCATGCCGTATTCATTGTGCTAGAGGATTATTTGGAAGACGCTTTTGGGGGGCATTTCTGAGGCTTTATTTGGGAAGACATAGATCTCGAACCTAGTCTGTATTTAACACGTTGAAAATGACGTGAGCTCTTGAAGGACTGGGAGTCCCAAAACAAGTCATTTGAAAGTTACGTATCCTGAACTACAAATGTCTGGCACCCCTTCTGTTCGTTTATTTTCACTGATGAGCTATGCTGAGCTATAAATTCAAAAAAGCTATGAGGGAATGAAAAAGATGGAGTGACTTAACACTGATGTCACAATCCTGTCACTCAGCAAGCACTTAGCAACTGTTAGAAGCTTGACCTCTCTTGCTGTTGGAATCCTTACTGTTGATGGCCAATGAGAGAGAGAGAGAGAGAGAGAGAGAGAGAGAGAGAGAGAGAGGGGGGGGGGGGGGGGGGGGGAAGGTGTGACTATGATGATGGGAGAAGTTTGGGCTTCTGCCTATAAATAATGGGCTGATGCCTCTTCACCCACCTTCAAGGTTGCTGGGGAAGATCAAATGAGATAATGTGTGTGAAAACCTTGAGAGACACAAATCTAAAAGGAGTGAGCAAATTTATGGAAGAGGGTCGCCCTCACACGTCTGTTGTCAACTCTAATAATTTATTTAGCTGGTGATAATTAGTATTTGTCTAGGCTGAAGGCGGTTGCTGCCTGCCTGTAAAAAAAGAATGCTCTGATTTTTCTAAGAGCTATTCCGTAAGTGTGAATCACGCTCCTGTCTTTCTCAGGGAAACACAGCTTTACTCATTTTTTTCCCAGTTGATAGGAAGATAGTTAGTTGTCTTGCTTAGACTAATTACTCATTATCCTCTATGTTGGGACCACAAGTAAGACCCTAATTAACAGATTTGCTAGTCACTATTTCCGGTTTCCATCTACCATCTGGAGTTTCTGGTAACCAAAGGTGCCGACAGAGCTTAGAGCGACAAGCAACGCGTGTGGGAGGGAAGGCAGGTCTGGTTGGAGTCCTGGCCTTGTCGTTTACTAGGGGGCCTCAGATTGGTCATCAGCAAATGGAGATGACAGACCTAGCTTGTCACGAGGATTAAAGAATGTAGGTAATTAGTACAGGCACTTAGGAATCACTTGATCATGGAACCAAAAAAACTCATGAATTCCACTCAGAATAAATGATAATCCAACCCTGGCGGAGTGGAGACTTTACATTTGACGAAAGCAAATTATACTGTTAAGCAAGGGTATAGGTGGCCGTGTAAGAAAATGAGTAATTAAAAAGGTAAACTAAATACAACTTCCCTTTCTTATAATGCTCTATAATCCTCTACTATTCCTGATGGTCTTCCCCAGAGTCTGAATTTACGACGTGTGCGTAGCTCCACCCCATTCTTTCATGAGTAAGGGGCTCTTCTCGGTGCTGCCAGAGACCAAGTTCTAACATCCCCAATCCGAATTATGGTGAATGTCAACAGTACAATTCTTACCATAGGTTCTCAGCTGGGGCAATTTTGTCCCCCAGGGGCCATTTGGCAATGTCTGGAGACATTTTTGATGGTCACAGCTAGGTGGTTGTGTTACTGGCACATTGTGGGTAGAACCCGAGGATGCTGCTAAACACCCTACAATGTGGCCCCACAACAGAGAAGGACACAGCCCGACGTGTCAACAGTGCTGAGGTTGAGAGATGTTGCTGTAGACTATCATTTGGAAGATCCAGCACGTTTTCGTCATCGTTACTTCTTTAGCCAACTAATGATGTTAACCAGAGTGCTTTAGCTTAACATATATATTAATAACTTGTATAACTTCATCGTGCCGTGTCTGCAATGTACAGCCACTTCAAGTGCAAGTCATTCTGTTTGTAGAGTTTGCCTCATAAAATGACTTTATTGACTCGTGTGTTTTTTTCACAATAGGATGAGTTGTAATCACAGAATTTTGTAAATCGTTGCCTTTTTTTTTTGTTTGTTTGTTTGGTGCGGATTCTCTTTGAGCCGAGCCAAATTAATTTTCTGAAAGCATTAACGACCACACACAGATTTGTGTGGAGTCATCAAATGAGTTAATGCTCAAGGTTCTGAAATGATCTTTGCGATACCGGAGGTCAGATAATCTCTTAACTTAACCGACGTAATGGTTTATTTTTAATACCCAATTTCTTTTTAAAAAAGAAAAAAAAATGATTCCCCGTAGGCGTTTTGATGGATGACACCACACTGAAGTTCCATGATGTCGTTCCTGGTGGAATTATTTCATTATGTGTCTGGCGGTATGATGGATGGACGGAACTGGTTTTGGCGGCTGCAGAAGGGGATCCCAGTAAGGTGTTTTCATGACTCTTTAAATGGATGTTATACTTCATGAAGCAACTGCAAATTGTGCATGTGTATGTGTGTGTGTGTGTGTGGGGGGGGGAGAATCACTTTGTCTTTAATGTGAATATTTAAGTAAAAGTTTCAGAGTAGGGCAGAAGGACAACAAGGCCTTATGTCATAATGACCAAATACTGTACTGAGTGTTTCGCTCGCAGGGGCTGCAATTTCACTGTGCTCGCTTCTGCGTGATTGATAACCTGCTCCTGCCCCCAAGAGGAATCAGGGCAGCACATTTTCTAGCCACGTGTGTATTTTGTCAAATTGAAAACCTAATTTAACCATGAGTGAAGCATGCCAGATAAACTCAGAGCTATGCAGCCCACCAACCGTCCTAGCTGGGGTCTGCCTCCCATCGGGGGTCAAGACCATGCACTGCTCGGGTACAGCAGGCGCCTCCTTTTTGCCAAGCCTTGCGCTAGGCTCCCAGTTGGGCTCTGGGCTGGGTTGGGGGGGGGCAGGGAGGAGGAGGGAGCCAGGCTGCCTACCCAACAGTGAAGATGAACCATTCAGAAGAATACGTTCTTTCTGGAAAATAAGTTCGGAAAAGTGATGAGCTTGTGGAGAAGAGGAGACAATTTACTTCTGGCTGGGAAAGGGGTCAGGGAAGACTGGGTGTAGGAGGGGTGTTGGGGTCATGTCTGGGGAGGCAGAGCCAGGCTGGGTGCATGGGTCACAGAAGGGACGGGGGGCATGTCGGCTGTCAGCAAGCCCCTTCCAGGTTCCTCCCTGGTCTGTGCGCCCGCCCCCCCCACACACACATTGGGTCCATGCCTGGGCATTCTGGCCTCTGCTTTGGGGTTCTTCTCCCCCGTCTTGAGCAGAACTGTCATTACCTCTGCCTTGTGCCCTGTCACATTCTGCCCCTCCAGCTGCCCCACACCGGATGCTGGCATCAGGGATAGCGTTCCTCCCATGCTCAGAGCCTTGGTTCACCATGCAATGATTACATTCCAGGGCCACGCTTTACCCCATAGCCAAGTTCAGAGTGTTCCAGAAGTGAACAGAGACAATGGGCCCGAAAATAGATCGGAAGGTCAGAGTTCATCAGGTCTCTGGAGAAGTTTGTCCCCCCCTGGGGAGGCCACTTCATGCTGGCTGGGGTCTTCCTTAATGGTTACAGCCACCTTCCTCTGGACACCCAGAAAATCTATTTTTCTCTCTTCAAAACATTGACAGGAAGAATTTCCTGCCTTCAGAGCCTGCCTGATGGTAAACTTGTATTTCCTGGACATATATAGAACGTCAAACAATGTCCTCCTCTGGGTGTTTTCCAACTTCTCAGTTAGGGTTTGCCCCTCTCTGCTTTCATCATCAGCCTTCATGTGGCATTTGAGCAAAGCTTTGCTCCTGTCACCCACCCGGACAGGGGTATCCGCACGTCTGAAATAACGTGACTCACTGTGTGTCACTCTGTGTCTTGCCCAGCTCTCTTGCCTTGGTGTCACTGAAGATTCTTTCTACCAAACTGCAAATTCACAACATCTTAAAGAGAAGCAGTGGAAGAAGTGGGTATCTCAGCGAGCGTTCGTAGCACTGTATATTGCCTCACACAGAGGGCACGTGGAGGCTGTGCAATACCTTCTAGAACACGGTAATTCTGACAGACAGCTGAGTACAGCCAAGAGTTGGGGTCTTTTGCAGGTAGAGAGGGCAGAGTGGCTTGTTTTCCTGGTCCCTCCAGCCATGGTTTCCTAGACCTTGGTCTCATCAACCTCCAATCATGGGCCCCCTTGGGTCACTCAATCCATGTCTGAGGTGTCCTAAAGGACATGCTGATCAGAGGCTGTGTCCCCTCTCTGGGCTGGGCCTCCGGAAGATTCTTTCTGCTGTGGGGAGATAGAACTTTCAGGACACCAAGGCACAAGCACAGCTGAAAGGATTTCCTAGCTTCCATGTCCAACCAGACACACTGCTGGGGATGTCCCCCAAATGTCTGCCTGATGTCCACCCCAGCTGAAGTTGGGTTTCTGTGATGGTGCAGGGGCTGGCCCCAAGCCAGCATCATTCTGTTGGTGGTTGGCAGACTGGCCGGTCTCCTTTCTCCAAGCCTTTGAATTACTTCCCTCAGGAGACAGTCACCCCAAATCCTTTTTCGTCTCTCCTCCACCAAAGTGCAAGTTACCCCTGTACCGTGCTCTGCCTACCCCCTTACCCCCCACCCCGTCTCTCCCTGCCTTAGCCTGCATTGTCTCCAAGTTAAAGGGCTTTACATGAGATTCTGCAGGAGTGCACTTTATCTTCCCTGGATATAGGATATTTTTGGGAGAAGAGGCCCATGATTGAAATGTAGACCATTCAAGAACAATAGACAATAGTTGCAGACAGCCCCAGCCCCATTTCCTCCGGAAAAGGAAGAATGTGTGCCGGTATTTGGTCAACGGTTTGAGGCTCAGAAAGGGGCCTCATCTGAGGCTCTCCCATGTCAACTGGCCTCCAAATAAACCCCTTTCTTTCCTGCCTGTGGCCTTGACCCCAGCCCCTCTCTTCTCAGTCGTCGCTTTTTCCCACCCAGCGAGATGGGCGAACACCTCCTGCTTGGCCAGGGTGACCGGGCTGTGCATCTGGGATGGACACAGCTGTTCCTCACTCTTCTCCATGGCCTCTGCACCCCGTCCGGTGTGAGGTGAAATACAAGCTTTTCACAGCCTGGCAGTCCTTTACACTCCTATAAAGCCATTTTCACTCTGATGGAATTGTGATGCATTTGAAAGCACCCGTTAAAAAAATGATAGCCAGCTTTGCAAAGGTTTCTGTCCTTTGCAGACAGTGGTTGCAGAGAGGCACCGTGGCCAAGGCTGGGTGCTCCGAGAACCTGTTTAACACGTTACCCCAGCGGCCAGCCATAGCTCATAAAAACTGGCTTCCGTCATGCCAGCTGCATGGAATTGAATTGCCTTGTTTTCTGTGTCATGATATTTGTTACCCAGAATTTGATTGGATTCAGCAAGTCCACATTGGACACCTGTCATTAGCCTCTCCATCTGTTGGGGGTAGTGAGGGCTTCAACTGAAAGGAAATCTGTCCATGAGTCAGGCCGCCCGTTGCCTGTCCTTCCCGCAGCGCCTGTCTTCTCAGGCGTCGTGCTACGTGCTGGGGGGTGAGAAGGGCAGGGAGCAATACAACTGTGTTTTCTGCCCTTGCGCCATTTATGAAGGGAAATCAGCAAATGAGTACCAACCATTAAGCCCATGGTCAGTCGTGCATGTCAAGTTCTGAAGACGCAGAATGTCTACTGAGCATATACAGAGAAATTCCTGGGGAGGGGCCAAGGAAGGGTTTCCTGAGGAAGCAAATGAAACCTAAAGCAGGATAGAGTTAGCCCAGAGGTAAAACAAGCACACAAAATGAAGATGAGAATATTGTTAGCCAAGGGCACAGCACGTGCCAAGGGCCGGGGGCAGGAGGAGGGAGCAGGGTGTATTTAAGGGATAAAGATAGAAGGCTGGTATAATCGGAGCACGGAGGAGGGGGGAAGGAAGAACATTGGTGGGGGGTAATGCTGGAGTGATGGGGAGGTGGGGTGGCATAGAGCAATAAAGACCCAGAATGTTGCCCCCAGGCCAGGGGATGTCAGCAAGGGCATTGGAGGGGAGTGGCATGGGCATTTCAGAAAGATCACTGGCCACCACGGAGGAGCAGCCTGGCGGTAGGGCAGTGCTGGACGCTGGGGGACGCAATGCCCCTCCCTTATACTCGGTGCTGAGCGTGGGGCACTCATTGGTTTTCCCAGCATCCCTTTCATCGCCTCGGCCCCTCCCGTGCTTCTGTTCTCAAATGTGTTCCCAAAGGCGCAGCTCATGGCCAGGAGGGTGGCCCCCCTCAGCCATGTTTCTTATTTTACAGGAGCCAACTGTCTCAGCAGGACCCCCGTGGGCAGGACACCCCTGCACGTGGCTGCAGCCATGGGCCAGTTGGACTGTATAAGCCTCCTGCTCAAGTACGGAGCCTCCACCAACGACAAAGACGCCAAGGGCATGACCCCCGTGGTCATCTCCCGCCGCCTGAACCACAAGCACAATGAACGACAGTACAAGATGCTCCTCCTGCACTGGGTGGCAAAGTCAGCCAGAAAGGGTCCCACGGGCGGGAACGTGACCAAGGCTTTTCTGAGAGTAACGCCTGGGTCTGGTTCCAAGAAGAACAAAGCTGAGGTCCCACTGGGACTGTCTGCACGTCAGAGCTGATCTGGGGAGCTTTTCGAGAGTTTGGATCCACAATGGCCTTTGGTGAGCGGGAGGGCGGGAAAGCGTGGCAATTAACCTGAATCGGGCACTGAATTATCTGTCCTGTTTGAGGATGACTTGGGGAGGGGGCTGATAGACGCAGGTGAGTTGTGTTCATCTTGGAATCCATTACGGACCTAACAGGCTTGATGCCAGCCTTTAATTTTAAGCTATTTGTACACGGTACCCAACAGGGCTGCTTGGGGTGACGGGAACCAATTACCTCTTCCCCCGTCTGGAGACCATCTACTGCACCGGCATAACAGAAGTAATAGCAATAATGAGAATAGCGCTGCGGTTATTGTACAAAAACTCTAGTGCTGATAAATGTCGGGAGGTCGTGTACAGTGTGGGCTGTGAATTTTGGTTTTCAAGACTCATGGAACCCAATGCTCCCACAGCTAGTAATGTTCCGGAAGTTTCCCTGAGCCACCTCGGAAGGGTCTGCTGCTTGAGTTGGAGGTGGGGTGGGAGGGGGGGCGCGCGGGAAGTGAGCAGCCAAGAGTTTGGTTCTCCAAACACATTCTCCACAGGAGGCCTGATTACTCTTGTTGAAAGGTGACACACTGGCATTGAATTCGGAGGAAGTGGTGCGAACAGTGATGGATGGTGAGCTCTCCAGGAGAGGCTCAGAGCAGGCACTTGCTTTCCTTTTGTCATATCCCCAGTGGTTCAAGCACCCCCTTCCCCCCAGCTTTCTCCTTTCCTGCTGGATCCAACATAGCTCCATCCGCTTTCTAGGCAGCGCTGTCTATGCTTCATTCTAGGCTCCACACCTTACAAAAGCCACGGACCTGCAGGGGCCCAGACTGCCGTGTGGGTGAGGGAGCCGGGTGTGGGAGAGGAGAGGGAGAGGCGAGGACTGGGGCAGGCTGACATGCACACCCCTGTCTGAGGAGGGCACTGTGACTCAGCTCCAGCAAAAATGTGAGTGAAAGGCTGCTAGATCTTTCCAGAGCTTTCGAGAGCTGGGAATCTGGCTTTTGGATACAGTTAAGTCCTGATTTTTCCGTGGTTGGTTTGAAAAGTTTTAAGATTACGGAATGGTGTGAGAGGAGTAGGAGAGTTGCAGCACACTTATAGGACCGCCCACCATTGTCAAGATCTACCTTGTTTCACAGGGGACAGCGGTGGAAACAACCTCAGGCTCATTGGAACATTCCTTAGCTCCACGGCGGAATGGCCATGGGTCCTGCTATATGGGTTTCTCGAAAGCCTGTATCCTGACGGCACTCCCAGAATCAGTCTGTGTGGCAACCGTCTCTCCGCCGCTGAAGTTACTCCTGTTTTAAAGGGATGGAAAATGGCTGTGTGTCCTGGCACCCTTCTTTCCGACTGAGAGCCCAATAACTGGATGCAGCTTCTAAACTAATTGGCCGCATTTCCTGCTGTCATAGCAAGTAAGATGTGTGTTGATGATGTGGCTTTACACTCAGTAGACGTGGCTGTACCCAGCTCAGCAATCTGTTTGACAAATAATAGTCAGGAGAAAAATATAGCTTAGCATCAACTATGTCAAAACGGGATCTTGGTTTTGGCAGGCATCCTCCACAGCCAATAGGCAGATATTAAATAACCCCATCCAGTGGGTCAATTCATTTAGCTAATGAGGTGTGTTGAGGAACGGGGTGGGGGAGGGTTGGGGGGGGGACTTGGACACCCTTTTAACTTAACAAGTGGCATTACTCAAAGTCACGTGTCTGCCTGGAGCTTGGCTCTGCCGTCTTTGCTGTGAGAGCCAAACGCTGGATGCTTGTCCCCAGGACTGCAGGCAAGCACTCTATCTTCCTAGGCCCCCAATTCAATTAAACGCTTGGCCAGAAATTGGGCAAGTTCCAAACTCTCTGTGGTGACATTTGCTCAGTCTGTGGCAGGGTTATCCGAGCACCCCTGGAGGTCCCGGGGGCTCATTTCAGACAATCTCAGCATCCTATCTATTACATTCAGACAAGCCTGCATCACATAGTCTATAAACTATATCGAGAACCATAGAAGAATTGGTTTGCAGTTGGTCGCAATCATGTTAACATTTTGTATATATTTCATTAAAAATGTTTTTTGAAGGATTTTTTTTTTTGGTCATACTTGGGAACCAACAGAAAAAAAAATTTCAAGGGGGCAATCTCACACATTTTTGTAGGTCCCTAAAATCCTTTTAGGCCCAAGGTACTGGGGATGGTCTTTAGTGGTGAATCAGCTGTGGTCTGCTATCGTCCTGGGAACTGTGTGTCCACAGAGAGGATGGGCTTCCTCCGGGAACAGAGCTTTGGTCAGTCTCCTGGGTATGCTATCCAGCTGCCCTCTCCTTATCTGGTATTTCCCATGAGGCTGGGTTCCCAATCCAGAGCTAAGAGCTGCCGGGATAGTGTGGAGATGCAGAGTTTGGGGTCACTGTGGACCTCAGATCACATCTATGGCTTTGGATGAGTTCCCTACTGCTCTGAGCCAAGAGTTTCTGTAGAAGAGGATGAAGGGTACTCATGGTGCCTGGTCCCCGAGGGTGTTGGGAGGGCCTGGGAGGTAGGAAGCACTCAAGACAAGCTGGCTCTTATCATCTGACAGCTTGGTTGGAAAATCTTGCTGAGGTCATGGGCTAAATTGTTGATGTCTGAGCAAAAGGAAAGACGGGAGAACCATTTTTTTGCCTTTCTTGGGCTCTCTTAAGTTCTTATCACCAACAAACTGGTGACGTAACCCTTTGGGTCATGCTCACATGAAAATGCCATCGACCATTCTTGGGTTTCTCGGTGGCCCCACGGAGGAGGAGGACTTACATCTCTTCATCAGCTTGGAAAACAGTCCTTGGAACAGGGGAGCCTCTTGGAGAGACGGATCACTCACTATAAACAGATGACAGCACCCACATTTCCACTCACCGTGGCTCAGAGCCAAGCTTAGGGCCCACCTGGCGCCCTAACAACCAACCCCTTCCCTTGCCTTTTATCCCCCCCCTGAGTGAGTTATAACTCACTCAGTCGCCCTGTCTTGTGCATATATTTAATTGTAAGTTGCCTCACATCCTTTCTGGAAACCAGTGCAGTATAAATTAGAAAGAGGTAACACAAACTGGGGTTCAGAGGGTGATGTGAACATCTTGCCCAGGCCTGGCTTGGCGGACCCAGCCTTGGTCAACCAGCCTCTGACCCCTCCTCCTCACCCCCATTGTTTCAGGGGAGGCTGAACAAAGGTGCTGGGGGGGCCGGCCAAGTGGCGCGATGGTTAAGAACTGGCTTGGGACGCCAGAGGGCCCCGGTTCGGATCCCACATATGAAGGCCAGTGACACTAGACTGAAGAACAAAAGGACAGCAACTTGTCTGTTCCCCTTCCCCCAATTCCCCAATGCTGTTCCCCTTCCCCAATTCCCCAATTTAAAAAAATCTTCAAAAAAACCAAACAAACAAAGATACTGAGTCTTACTCTACATCCGGCCTCTTGGCCTGGTGTCCAGCATCCTCCAGGCCCTGGCTGTGAGCACCTCGGCTGCCCCTCTTGACCTCTGGCCACCCCCAGGATCTCTTAGCTCTACGCCAGCCTTCGGCACTTTGACTTTTCTCTCCAGAGACTCGTCCATGAGGCCTCAGTGGAGTGCCTGGGCTCTGGCCCCAATCTCTCACTCCATCTCAGACCTCGATGCTCCCTTACCTAAAGGATATTCACCAATCAGAGTTTCCCAGAGAGGCGGAAGGGCAGCCCAGTGGTGGCACTTCA